TGTTTTGTTTCATTTTTCCTCCCACTGTTATCAATTCTTTGGGGTAATATACCCAGGAATGGAATTGCTAGGTCATATGACATATTAGCCAAGGTTCTCTATAGAAAGAGACGTACTTCAAGGAATTGGCTCACATGACTGTGGCAGTTTGCTGAGTCTAAAATCTGATAGGGGTGGTGAGTCGGCTGGGGACACTGGAAAGAGTGGCTGCCGACAAGCCCAAAGGCAGAACCAGGAAGAGCTGATTTGGAGATGAGTCCAAAGGTGTCTGCGGGCCTGGCTGGGAAGCTCAGCTGCTCAGAGCATTGTCTGGACGCACCAAGGTTTGGGGTTTGGTCCCCGGTCAGGGCACATACAAGAAGCAACCAATGATGCATCAACAAGTGGAGCCACAGATCGATGTCTCTCTCTCTGTCTCTCTCTCCTTTCCTCTCTCTCTCTAGAATCAATACACAAAACAAAAATTCTTTTAAGGGTGGGGACCCTTGCCACTGTGACTCCCTCACACCAAAGCATCTGGGATTCCATTCTTGGTCAAGGGCATGGACTGGTGCTGCAGGGATTCAGGGTGCGTGGGGAGGCAACCAATCTATTTGTCTCTCTTATGTGGATGTTTCGCTCTTTCCCCATTTCTCCCTCCCTTCCACTCTCTCTCAAAATCAGTGGAGCCTGGCTTGTGTGGCTCAGTGGTCGAGTGTCTACCCATGAACCAGGACCTTATGGTTCAATTCTCAGTCAGGGCACACGCTGGGGCTGGGGGCTGGATCCCCAGTGGGGGGCGTTCAGGAGGCAGCCGATCAATGACTCTCATCATTGATGTTTCTCTCTCCCTCTCCCTTCCTCTCTCTGAAATCAATAAAAAATAAAAAAAAAAAATGGAAAAAATATCCTTGGGTGAGGATTAACAACCAAAAAAAAAGGGTGGGGGAACAAGGCTGGAAACCTGCCCAGAAACTGAACTGGCAGAGATGTTAACGAACTGGAAAGTCAGCCATCAGCAAAAGGCGCTTCTCATTGGTCTAAACATGCTCAAACCAGGGCACCAACCCCCGGCCAGCTTATCATTTCTTCAAGGAAGCAAACACTGCAAAGAATTCATAGAGTGGCATTCGTACCAGTGTCTCTGCAAAGTGATGAAGAATTTATTCGAAATAGCGTACGTGACGGGCTGACACCAACCTGGCCGGC